TTTTGAAACATGATTCTGGAAAAATTAAATTTGGCATGTAACTTCAGAGAATATTAAAGCAATGATAAATTTGTGATAAAACAATTAGCAATCTTAATAAGTTACATTGGAATTAAGAATCTATAAAAAACTTAGAAGGGGTTAGTGAATGTTGAAACTGGTGTTTGTTACTACCACCTCAAAAGGATGGTTAAGTTTGCGAAGTTAATTGATTAAAGATTTCCTAAAGGGAAGATTTGACTCAATACGGGCTACTTATGGAGGTTGATCTGAGTTAAATTACCGAAACTAAATGCGATTTATCAACTCGACCAGTTACGATATTGAGAAAAGTCAATTCTAATAGTTATATAAGCAAAGGGTGTGAAGCAATGGCTGGATGCAAGGAGAGGTTATCATTTTAAGGATGATCCAAGTCTAACGATAAGTGCAGCATATAAGGTGTATAAACAGGCAGGCATGACATGCAAGGCAGAACAGAAACAAATTGGCATTTTGTCTCGACGCTGACTTGGTTCCTAACACACTTTACTCATTGATATCATTTTCTCACGTGCAAACATCCACTACCTCGAAATAATACTAGAGTTGAAGATATACTAAATCCTAAGTTTGTAATGTAAGAATGATACATGACTAGGTGAATACAGATAGAATCGCTAAGTAAATTCAATTACTCATCCAAAAGTATCTCCAATCCAAAAATTGAACAGATTTGAGGTTGAAAAGTAAAATTGGTAGAGAAAATTGAGCCTACTCGATCACCTAAGGTAGGATCAAAGTGCTTCATAGCATACGGCTAATCGGACACACATTATTAGCAATTTAAGTTTTTTACGCCAAATAAATCAACCAGCACTAAAGTGATAATTCACGGTTTTCACAATCTACATCAGAGATGTCACTATTTAAAGAGTTTACGCGGAGCTTTATTATGTAGAGCATTCTCAAATGCTTTCTCAAACAGTCTAGTCATTCAATTGTTATTATATATTTAGTGATAAAACGTTTAAAATAGAATAATAAAGCATACAAATTAATCTGAAAAACTAAAATAGAGAAATTGAATGAGGCTATGACAAGGCATAAGAATACTTACATTAATCAATAAAATAGTTTTGATAAACTCAGCGATAGGTTTTAAAATAATTATGATGAAAAAATCAACTGCTGGTAATTTCAAAAAATGATTTACAAATTTTAAGAAAGAGGAAAATACACAAGAAACTAACAAATAATAAAAATGGATAGATAAGAAAGGTAAAATAAAAGACTTATTTAATAATTTTCTCACCTAAATCGGATTCATGAATAGCAGAATGTGGATCCCTAATGAATGTTTTTTCTAAATTGAACCTAAAGAATTTCAGACGTAAAAATAAGAATTTTAAAGTAAGATTAATCGGTATCTAATATAGTTAAGAAAATATAACACTGAAAAAAGAATCTCATGTAAAAATTAAGATGGATAATAGCTGTAAATTGAGAACCAATAAACATTACAAAAGCTAATGCGGATAGGAAAAGCATTAGAGAACTTTACTTAGGAAACTTAGCAGAGAAAGTTAAAGTGGACGGAAATGCATATATTCGAAAAGTTAGCTGCACAGCTGTATGCCTTACAAAAAAGTCAGATATCTAAAGTTAAACAAATGAAATCCTCACCACAAGAAAGTTACTACACTTTCAAACGCAGCTTCAGGTATTTTTGTCAGCCGCTACATACTAAGTAATATAGCCAATTTTTTTTTCCTGGTAATCCCCTTATTTATTGAGCTGGAAGAAATCAAATCTTTCATAACAGAATTGATATGCCACATTGCTTAAAGGGCTATCAAAAATATTGTAGATGAACAATATCAACACCAATAAAATGTATTTTATTTGTTAGCAGGATAAAACAGTAACTAGTGTTAGCAATAAAAAGGGAAGCACACGCATTTAGATAGCAGATTTAGCTATCTTTTATAATTTACATCAAAACAATGTTATGGATATTCTAACCTCAAAAATTATCGCATGCTACATAAAAAAACTTACTGGCGGACCACATGTCCATCAATAATCCCAGGCAAGTCAACAAACACCTAGAGAAAAAAATTTAAGATAAATACTTGAGAGGAATTGTAGAATAACTAAACAAATGATATTATAAAAGACAATAATTAATTATACGAAAGACTTCAGTTAAGGCCCTGAAGAAATGGCAAATATGGAATTCGCATTAGCCAAAAGGGAAAAGTAATGAAATAAATATAAATGAAATTTATAAATAGATTGAAATCATGGACAAAATAATCAGACAAAAGCACTGGTGCATTAACAATATTAAATGAAAAGCAAGGATATACTAAGTAATATCACTGGTGAAAAGGAAGGCTAACGATGTAAATGGGTAAGGACTAAAATTAGAATACCAGGAAAAAGTACCGTCACAGAAAACGGACGTAAATAAATTATAATGATACCCTACCCATAATAGAAATCTTAACAAAAGAGATACTGGAGGCAAAAGATACTTACAAATGAATCCTCATATCTTAACAAATAAGTAATTAAACTAAAAAAATGGTTACAATATGGATTTTATCGATTAATTTTTACTATAACACTATATAGATGAGTTTGTTATGATCGGGCTATAATACGCTTTTTCATCATAATTTAATGAGATGACCAGGACTACATATAATAACAAATAAATAAAAGATTAAAATTTGGCTATACTAAATAAATACTTATACAGTTCTAGACCATACTTATTAAAGAGCTTTCAGAAATATAATCTTTCCCCTCATAAAAAAGTTGAAGGTAATCTTTCATTTCAGAAAATTAAATAGAAAAATTTCAGGTTATGAGTTTTCTAACTAGCTGAATATTTTCTTGAGTAAATACAGCAACTTGTTTGGACCGAGTGGTGTGTGCTTTCGATGAATGGGCGCAAACACGCCAGCCGACGAGCATGTTGACAAGACTAGACTTCCCTGAATTTGGACAACCTATAATGGCTATTTTGAGCGCTTTGACATCAGGGTATGAAAGAACCGCCGGTCTCATAAATTGTTTGAAATAATCAACTGCAATGTGAGAAAAGAGGCAAGTTACTTCTGTTAACAGGCAGCGTCCTTTCTACTCCTGTTGCTGTAGCATGATTGTTTCTGAAATTAATATGACACGAAAAACAAGGAAGTCTAGTTATAGGCCCAATCCTAAATATCATCGTAAGTATTGCAGGGAGAAAAGAATAAATAGAAGAAAGAAAACACGAGTGGAAACTTTTGAGCCGTCATAAACGAGATCAGCAAAGAAGTGATAGATTCAAACAAATATACAAGTCATAGATATCAATAGATAAATAAAAGATACTATAATAAGCAGTAAAATATTAATGAAATAAAATAATTAGATAAAAAAAATTAAAAGCTAACATAATTTTAAAAATATTAAAAACATATATGTATAATTTAAGGAAGATCTCATCTGAAGAGGATGGCTGAATCCCATTGTACTGAGGCTGCTTGGCTTCTATACGACATTTATGCTGTTACAGTCCTCAAGACCTATTCCTGTGCTTCGGATGAAAACGAACTGAGATTTCGTCCATCATATGATTGTAATCAATAA